CACCAGCGGCTACTTCGTGCGAGAGAGATCAGACTGTCTGCTCCCATCAAGATGGACCATCTGGGAAAGCCTCTGGGTCAGAAGTACTATGAATCAGAATCACCTTGATTGGCTGTGAGCTTGATTTCTGGGCTTTATTACATACAAGGCGTGATAGGAGTGCAGCTAGTGGTATTGAATAAAATAATTCTGGTAGCAGTGAACAGAAGGGCTTGAAAACTTCAGACTAGGAAGAAGATCCGAGAGAAATGAGTTTCTTTCCCGTGGTAGACTCACAGAAAGAGGGAAGCCCAAGGGAGCTGTTCTACTGTGGCCTAGGGGGTTGCAGGCATTGACTAGACGGCAGCGCATATAGCGTTTCCAATAAGGGTTGGTGTCAGTTATTTCTCTCTGTAGCTTACCTCCACACTCCGGACTCCAAGTTCCAGCGACGCCAATCACAGTGTTTACAGTGACCCCTGAAGTCCGCAGCCCTGAGGCACAGCCTCCCTGCTGAGCCGCGTATCCTAACCTTCAGGAACGTGCACATCCTGCTGAGGTCACAAGGTGGCGCAACGCGCCCAGTCCTCAGCTCCAAAAAACGCAACAAAAACCCCCAAACCCCACTGCTGCAGAGTCAATTCTAAAGCCTAGCGACCTTAGAGGTCAGAGTAGCATCGCCTCTGGGGGGTTTCTGAGTCTGTAAATCTTTTAATATACATATATATTTTATTATAAAAACAAATTTGTTATTTGAAGAAAGTTTACACAATATAGGAAGGCAGAAAAAAGTTTTTCCTTCATATTTCATTACCTATAGTTTCTGTCGTACAGGGTCTTCATAAGTCAGAATTGACTTCATGACAGTGAGGTTTTTAAAAAATCATTTTATTGGGGGCTCATACAACTCTTATCACAGTCCATACAGACATACATCATGTCAAGCACATTTGTACATTTGTTGTCATCATCATTCTCAAAACATTTTCTTTCTACTTGAGCCCTTGATAGATATCAGCTCCTCAGAGTCTGTAAATCTTTATGGAGGCAACCAGCCTCATCTCCTGAGACGCAGTTGGTAGTTTTAAATGACTAACGGGCTCAAGCAACTGTGAAGATGGGGCAGGACTGGGCAAGTGCTTCGGAACCGACTCGGGGTCCCTAACAGCTGCAGCCCCGGCAGCAGCCACCGCCGCCACCACTTGGCTTGAGCAGCTCCTCCTGTAACTCGCTAGGCCACCAGGGCACTAGCATACTTCTAAGAGGCTGCTGCGAGAGGAGACGCGGTCTTCCCCAGCCCTTGGCACTGCTCTTGCCAAATGAACGGGCTGTTTTTCAGCTCTGCACCCAGCTTTCTGGGACGCAGAAACCCCTCGTTTTATCTGTGGGAGAAATGGCCTACCTGACCCATTTAAGGAGCAACTGGTGACCGCCCTCCCCCCAGCTGTGCAGCCTTGTCCTACAAGGTCACTGTGAGCTGGAACGGACTCAAGGCCAGTGAGCTTGCTTCTTTTTTGCTTGGCCAATTTGGGAAACATGATGTTCAACTCTAATGTTATCATCATAATGTCTGGAGACCCCTTCCCTTCCCCCAGGAGAGTTTGCTACCCAGTGCTTACTTATGAAAACTTCGCTGAGGGGAAGAAACACATTCATCCATTCAGGCTTTCTGTCTCTCTCCCCAACCTCCCTCACCCTCTGCTGGCTGGCCCTTCCTGCCCTTCTCAGACTCTCAAATGAAGCGCTCTCGGACCAGATCGTTGACCCCGCTCTTTTCTTCGAACTCCTTCGTCCTCCTCTTTGGTTCCTTCATGGCATTGTGCTACTGTGCTATCCTGCTAAAAGCTGCTTCCCGGAAACAGGCCCCTGAAACCTTTCTCTTTCTTGTCTGTCTCTGACATCGCTCCGTCAGGATGCGGTTGGTAGAACTCCATGTGATAAAATTCACTTTTAAGTTACAGTCGGGGAAAATGGTTAGGAAGTTGGTTAATCCTCCTCCCCCATGTCTAATCCCATAAAAACAGAGGGAGAGAAAGATTGGGATGGTAGGAACAATGCATTTAATATTCAGACAATTCTGGTTCTAAAGCTTAATTGCATTCCTTTCTGATTATATGCGTTCAGGAGGCTGAGTCTTTCTGATTC